TATATATATATATATATATATATATATATATATATATATATATATATATATATATATATATATACATGTGCATGCATGCATGCATGCATATCTCAGGGGCCTAAACAGGGGCCCCCCCAGCAGGGGGCCCCCAGGGTTTGCTGCTGCAGTGGTAGCGAACCCTCCTTCGCTTGTTGCTGCTCTTCGTCTCCTCTCTGTCTCCCTAAGTAAACCCTAAACCCTAAACCCTAAACCCTAAACCCTAAACCCTAAACCCTAGATGCTGGATGCTAAACCCTAGATGCGGTGGTGGTGGTTGTGTTTTTATTTCTTTTGTAGTAAGGGGGCATATTATATGTATAGACACATTAAAATATATTAAACCCTAAACCCTAAACCCTAAACCCTAAACCCTCAGGTTGTGTAGGTATAAGGTATAGGGGTTTGCTTTAAACCCTAAACCCTAAACCCTAAACCCTTGCTGTAGATGGGGGTTGTTGTGAGCGGTGAAAACACAGCGAATGATGCCGAGGGTTTAAGGGTTTAGGGTTTAGGGTTTAGGGTTTCTAGGGTTTAGGGTTTAGGGTTTAGGGTTTAGGGTTGCTCCGCCCCACCCAGTGGGCTTATGGCGTTAGCTTGAGATGTATGTACAAGGGCTTAGGGTTTAGGGTTTAGGGTTTAGGGTGTATGCATGCTTGTATATAAATTAGGGTCTAGTGTGTATGTATGTACAGTATCTAGGGTTTAGGGTTTAGGGTTTAGGGTTTAGGGTGTATGTGGTTGTATTTTAGGTGTATGCGTGCCTCCTGTTTCTACTCTTCGTGCTGCTTCATCTCTGCTGCAGCAGCTGCAGCAGATCTGCTGCAGCAGCAGCAGCAGCAGCAGCAGCAGCACTGGGGCCCCCTGGGGGCCCCCCGTAGCCGGCGTATGGGGTATAGGTGTGATGCAAGGAAGCGAACCTTGCTGCTGCAGCAGCAGCTGCAGCAGCAGCAGCAGCAGCAGCAGCAGCGCAGATATCTCAGTGCTGCTGCAGCAGCAAACAGCAGTTCCTGCTGCTGCTGCTGCAGCAGAAGTTGAAACGGCTTTGGGGGCCCTCCGCCTCGCAATACAAAACGCTGCATGCAGTACGAGCACAGCTGCTGCTGCTGCTGCTGCTGCTG